CTCCGCCTCGAGCAGGTTGGTCGGCATCGCCGGGTGGGTGCCGTCGGCGATGGCGGCCTGCCACTCCTTGACGACGCCCTTCTCGAAGAGGCCGAGGAAGTCGTACGCGTACGTGGTGCCGATCCGGCGCGCGACCGCCCTGCGAGAGCACGGGGGGGCGGAGGAGCCGGGTGGTGTGGGGTGGTGTGGGGTGGGGTACTGTGGGGGTAGGGGACCGCACCTTTGTGTCCGACTGGAAGATGATGCGGTCGATCTTGCCCGACGTCGGCTTGAAGCCCTCGTCGGGGTTCTCCGCCGTGATGCGCGCGGCGATGACGTGCTTCGGGTACTCTGACGACGGCTTGAAGTAGTCGAGGTTGAACTCGCCGATGCCGTCGTAGTCCTCGTCGTAGAAGGCGCGCACCTTGGGGGGCGGCAGGGGGGCGCTAGATTGCCCGAGATTTGCCCGAGATTACTGCCAAGCGAGGCCATCGAGATGGCGGCGGAGGGGGGCGGCAGACGACTGAACCATTCAAGCGGCCCGCGGTGCTAAGCGGTGTCCTGGCGCGCCTCGACAAACTCGTTGGCGCGGCGGATAAACTCGGCGTTGGCGGCGAGGTCCTCCGCCGAGGCCATCACGATGAACTCGATCGCGTTCTCGTCGCCAAACGTCTTGTAGGCCCACTTGCGGATCGACATGATGGTCTTTGTTGCCGCCATGCCGTTGTTGGCAATCAGCACGCGGCGGATGAGCGTGTCACCGCCCCGCTCGCGAATGTACGAGTTCATTCGCTCCTCGAGGTCGGCCTGGTACGTGGCCGCAGTCGACAGCGGCTCCGCCACCGCGCGGACCGAGGAGATGCCTGCGTGTCGTGACGACGGCGTTGGTCGACCGCCGGCCGTGCAGAGGCTCGCATGCGCGGGAGCGGGCGGCGGGCACCGCTGCGCGACGTTGCATCGGCCGGCGTGCGCAGCACCGCCGGCGAGGCTGCGGCGCCCGGCTTGGAGGCCACCGGGCTCCGGAAGGGACCCCACGAGAGTGCGCTGGCGCCGGCGAGGCCCGCCAGCAGCAGGGGCCAGTTGCCCTGCGGGGAGGGAGGGGCGCGGGGTAGGGGGAGAGGCCGGAGGGCGGCGACCGGCAGCGTTGTGCCGTCTGCGGGCGGGCGGGGGCGCGAGCTTGTGGACGGCAGGACATTACCCTCATGGAGCTCAGGCCCAGCTCGCGTGCTCGAGAAGCGGATCGGCCGAACGATTCTCCACAAAGAATTCTTAAAGCGCCAGATTCCGGGTCGCTCATATACTCAACAAAAGCCTCTCTCACATCCATCCAAAAAGACTACCAGCGTCTGCTGTACTGGTACGGATCGTCGAGACCAAAGCGTACCCGCGGGAATGGAATGACTGGATTGCGATGCTAGCGATGAAGCCGGGGGAGGACCCTTCAATTGCCCCCTTCCGAGCTGCTGCCGTCGCTGTCGTGATCCCGCTTGTGCTTCTTACGGTTGCGCTTGCGTTCGGCGCTCTTCTCCTTCTTGTCCTTGCGATGCTTCATCGATGTGTATCGCGCGCCTTGCGGTGATGACGAGCTCTCGCCAATCATGGGAATCGAGCGCTTAGCGCACGGCAGATCACGGCCGATCGAAGCTTCAAGTTTCGCGTCGAGTCCGATTTGCGGTTTTCACGCTTCACGAACGTTGTCGTGAACACATCATGGGGCTGGGGGCTCCGTATCTCATCATATCCACGTGTATCTCCTGGTATAT